GCCTACTACTCTATGCTCCTCTCCATCTCTCTCCTCAATAAAATCCACACGACTTAATCAAACTTTTCATACTGTAAAAAACAAAGCCATAATATTCCACTACGTGCAGATCAAAACACTACAAAACCCACCTGAGCAATGACAAGTTCCAAATGGACAAGCAGTATACCTTACACAGCCCTCGAAAAAAGCAAAACAGGCCAACCAATGGAGAAAGCTATTTAAGTAGAAAATTTTATCTTATAGAATATCTAAAAGCATTACATTTCTGAGGGCATACTTTTGTATCAACTCACTGCAAAGTCATAAAAAGTTTAAAGCTAACTGCTTTTCAATACGCAATTTTGAAGTATACTGTTGATATTATTGTTTTTAGTAGCAGCCAAAACCTTCTAATATTTCCTAAACAACCTGTCTTTTAAAAAGAATATAGATAATGTGGCTTTGTTGGCATTCAGGGTAACCATGTCATAATAGGCTCTGAAACAGTTTGCGGGGTTGGGTGGACCATAAGTGGTTTTGCATTAGAGCAGTAGTTAAGAAACCAACAACAGAAGAGTCTCCAGTTTTAAATCTAGGTCATACTAACCTTAGTCAAGAGCAAGCAGAAACTAGACAATTTATATATTACTTCCTAAAAAGATGGCTTACAAAAAAAAAAAGGAGCACAGACTTGAAAAATATTAATCTTTCCTAAAATTTTATTATAAATAAGCTTATTTATTTTTAAAAATAATCTATATTCCCATTAATTCACATAAGAAATTTGTTCCTCTGTTATAGATAACCCACTAGCAAAATTAACACTGAATTACATTTAACTAGACTTCTACCAGAAAATAAGTCTTTCAATTTGGAGTGAGGGAAGTGGAGAGGGATATAAGCAGAGATGAGAAAGAAAAGCAAAACATAATTGGCAATTTCCCCCCAAAATACAGTATTCAAAATACATAAATTAAGTAAATAAATAATAGAGGGAAATACTAACTACTGTTGCAAATAAGTGGCAGTAAATATATGAGCACCATATTTTTCTTCCTCCATTTCCATCAGTACAAATTTTTTAAAAGCACTATTTCCAGAGCATATCATAAGGTCAAGTACAGATTCTGTCCCGTCTCCTGTCTCTACACTGCACTATTAACTGATGTCCTAGAGCTATCATGCCCAAGGTATTAGAGTGGAGACTGGCTCTGGAGGCAGACTGCCTAGGTTCAAATCCCAACTCTGACAATTACTGGCTGTGTGATCATGAGCAAATGAAGTAAATGTACTAACTCTCAATTTCTCTGTCAAGTATAATAAGGATTATAACAGTTCTGAACCTCAAAGGAGTTCCAATGAGAACCTATCCCTAAACTGTTTAGCACAGGGCCTGGCTCGTAAGTAAATGGTGGGTCACCACATTGTTACAGTAACCAGAGGGTACCCTCAGACAGAAAAAGGACCACACAACATTGTATAGAAGTTTATGGTTATTCATATTACACTGTAGAAGAAATCAGTAATCCACACTATGATAAGACCATGCAGAACTTCTGGTCACCATTACAATAACAATAATCGTAGCCCAACATTTATGTGGTGCTTTACTATGAGCCAAGCACTGTGCTAATGCAGTTTCTCATTTGAACTCATATGAAGCAAGGAATTGTTATTATTCCCATTTTACAGATAAAGGTATTGAGGGTCAATATGTATGCATAATTTACTCAAGATTACAAAGCAAGTGAATGGCAGGGTTAAGATTTTGAAACCTAGGCAATCTGCCTCCAAAGCCTACTTCTGATACAAACTACCCACCCAAACTCGAGCAAAGAATATCACATAATGGGATTTCAATTTCCTCCTCCGAAAAATAAAGAGTGATAGAACAGGTATTCTTAAAACTCCCTTCTAAACTCTGGACAAAAATGCTATATAAACCCACATTCACTACCTATAGAAAATATCTCTGCTTTAGTCCTTTTACAGACCCAGCCAGGCTTTTCTGTCTTATATAAATATAGAATGATGCATATTTATAATTCCCCCAGGGGAGTGCCTCACTGTTCCTGAGCCAGTTAGCAGAAGGTACATCACCAAGAGACAACAGCCAGAGAGCCTCACTAGATAGTTCCATAACCTTAAATCCCTTTACATGGAGCCCAAAGAGTACCTGACTTAAAATTAATTCTACCTGACGGCACTAGTGCTACAGGAAAGTTAAGAAGACACATTAACAAAATTAGCCAAACCTTTAAAGTAGAGCTATGTCACTCTACCTCTTAGGACCTCAGTTTCCTTATTTACATAAATGAAATGGCTATTACATACAGATAAACCTGAAGGAAGCAGCCACCCCAACTCAGGGAAACCAATCAACTTTGTTAGAATTGAGAGAAGAGGGTAAGTAACATGTAGTTTGGAAAACCACATTCAAATACAGCTATTGCTTTTATAATATAAACTATAGAAGAAAAGCTCCAAAAAAAAAAAAAAATCTATTGTGCTGCTTTGCAAAAGAGGGCGAAGCAGCACTGAAGGGACATGGATTTCAAAAATACACGTTAAGATACATTAGAGTAGATCACTGTTGCAAGCCCCTTTTAGCTGAGAGTCTGTAAAATAAAGACTCTAGGACTTCTTATTTTCTCCCTTTCACAGAAAAATGATTTAAATAAATGCACACACATGTAAAATTCTAAACACAAGACTCAGGGTGTTTTGTTTTTTAAACCTATGTGAGATACTTAACTCCATTCTTGTAAGATTCCAACTCAAAGTCAAAGAACAACCAGGTTACTCCTCATTTGGTTCCACTATTGCTTCAAAACACTGAAGCTCCATTTTACGTAAGACAAAGAAGCGAGACATGAAGTCCATGTAATTTTTCCTGAGGCCAAATATATAAAGCTCAATTTTAAATAAAATCTCTCCTCGTACAAATCTTCTGGCCATTTTTGCCTTCTCAATAGCACCTCCAGGGATGGATGAAAAGACAAGAAACCAAAGTCAAACCAGTCTGTCTGGCTCTCATTAGCATAACTGGTAAATGGCTTGCTGAGAAACAACTGGCAATCTATACACTACTACACTACTTGTCAATAGGAGTTTGGGGGAAGTCTCATGGATTTAATCTCTACTCAGTCCTCATTTCCAGAGACAATTGATCAAAAGCTAGTTGTATTCAGACTCGCCTCTTAGAAAAAGGTAAGTGATGTCTACAGCATCAACTCTTACCCCTAAACCTCCCTATCAGATTTTAGGTTATCTTATAAGACTGGACTTGGATAGGAAGCAACAGAGGAACTCTTAGAAAAAGGGCTCTCCTACCAAATGCAGCCTCCCTGTTCTATTCCCTCCCCACAAAAATAAGCACGTAGAGAAATTCCAGAAAGCAGATTCCTGCTTTTCTCTACCAAACTAATTTCATCTTGCAGTGTCTCTTCATTTTATTAAAACAAACTTTAGAACAATGGAAAGAAATACACCTTAATATTAAAATCCTCCATGCCTAAAGGATCCCTGTGAAAATTTGTCAAGATCCTCTCTCATGAAAAACTCTCATACACAACATTTACAAGTTTCATGGACTCCCTTGAACTGTCTAGGCTCTAGCCTAGAGAATCATGTGCTTCTCAATAACCCTATCTCCTCCCTCATGGATGGGAGCCACCCCAAACATCACATCTGAAATGTAAAGAACAACAAAATGAAGGCTCCAATTGCACCTGATGCTTTCGACTACCTCCGTCAAATGTCGGTTCTGCCGTTTTTCAGCAATACTCCAAGGATTTGTTTCATTTCCTTGACCACCCAAATTGGGTCTTATCCAAAGTCCTCCTCTCTCCTTCCTTTTTTCTTTTCTTTTTTAACTGATCTTATAGCCAAATCAATTTATAAGTGAAGGATAGATGTTTGCCTGAGAACAAAAGCCCCCAGTGAACACTCACCCTCACCACCCCTTTCCAACTCAAGATGTTCAGGACACTGCCGACTAACTGATGTGTCCGTGGGCTGGATTAGAAAACAAGAACAGAATAAGGACACTCCATTCAACCTTTTTGTCTGGGGCATTTCCTGGGTTTTTCACTGGTATTTAACACCAAGACACAAGGCTCATTTTTCATTAAAGTTGCAAGACTTTCCCTTTGCCCAGTTTCAAATGGTGTAATTGATCTGCATTGTCTTCTTAAATAACCCAACTGAAGGACACTGCAGCTTTAAATATTTCAGTGCTAGCTAGCAAATAGACTCCATTGCAATATGGCTCTGAAGGTCGCGTCCTATTGTCTCTTTGCTCTAGAAAAACAATGTCTAAGTCCTTCTTCTAGGTAACATCGGAAGGGTTACCCCTAGAATTTCCACTCTTCCAACTGGGTCCCTGAAGGAGTTTGGGAGTTTATTGGAAGCTCACACTCATAATTTTCCCGGCAGGGGCAATATGCTGATTGCTATTAATGATGCCAGCACCTTAGCGAGACATAAACACATGTGTTCACATTAGTTTAATTGAGCATATGCAACTGTCTGAAATAGCACCACTCAAGGGCTGTTAACCTCTTTAAGAGTAGGCCCAGGGTAGTTTAGGAGTGGATGGCTTTCAGGCGGCACTCTGAACCCAGGACTGCATAACCTGAAATATGCAGCTACTTAAAATGACAGGAATCTCAGTCTACTCATCCTGGGACCATGCCAGCACCTTGCACCTTTATTTGTTAAAGAAGGTCAAAATAAGAGGCACATACACGGTGAAGGAAAAAATAAATCAAAAGAAAAAGGCCCTTTTCTATCTTATCACGGCGGTTAAATAGGATCCCTCAAGCGGTCACAGTTCCCCCACCCTTGTCCCCGGTACTGCAACAGCTCCGGTGAAATGGAGGCTTTGGAAGGGGAGAAGGGAGCTGGACATCGATGCATTTTTTTAAAGACCAAAAATCAGTGGACGGTTAAATGGCAAGGAAGAAGGGGCAAAGGGAGCGGGGTAGAAGGTGTGTGCAGGTGCAATGGAGCATTACCTGAAATGGCAACAGATTGTTACCATTATCCGTCCGGAAAGCGTTATCCTCCATCCAGGACTTGGAGGTGAGCGGGGCCGCGCGGGGGAACTTGGGCGGCGCGATCACATTGCTGGAGAAGGGCTTTTTGAGCGGCGAGATGGGGTTGAGCGGTGAGGGCACCCCGACGCCCACGCCCACGCCCACGCCGACCGCCCGGCGAGGGTCCCGGCCAGCCGGCAGGCCGCCCCACGGGTTGGACGGCGCGCTCCAGGCGGCGTTCACACTCTGGTGCGTGTTCCAGCTGGACGAGGCTGACGAAGCGGCGGCCGCGGCCGCGGCGGCGACTGCAGCCGAGGACGAGGACGGCTTGCTGGTCATGATGGGCTGGTGGCCGTACGCCGCGGCCGCACTCCTCTGCGCGTAGGGCGCCTGGCTGGGGCTGGCGGGCGAGCGGCGCTGCTGCGGGGGCTGTGCCTGCGGGGGCTGCGCGGGTTGCGCGGGCTGCGGCGCCGGCGGCGGCGGCTGCTGGTGGTGCTGGGTCTGCGCCAGGCCGATCTGCGGAGAGAAGGTGCCCCCGAAGACTGGGTTGACGTGGTGCGGGAAGTTCTGGAAGAGCATGGTCCCGTTGACTGGGGTGATCCCCTGGAAGAAGCTGTCCTCCACCGCGTTCGTGGTGCCCGTGGACCAGGTGCTGCCGAAGGACGGCGACAGCGACGCGCCCGGCGCCGCGGGCTCCTGAGGCGGCGGCGGCTGCTGAGGGGGCTGGTGGAAACTCAAGCCCGGCAGGAGCGGCGATTCCATCTGCATCTTGTCGGGGCCGTTGGGGGCCGGCGCGGCCGCGGCGGGGCTGAGGGCCGGCACTGCGCTGCTGTCCTCCGGCTTGGGGGTCTCTGAGGAGAGGGGCGTGGACGGGGCTTCGGCTGCGCTGGGTTCGGGCTGGGGCTGCTGCTGCTGCCGCTGCTGCTGGGGCTGGGGCTGGGTTTTGCTTTTGTCCATCAGTAAATCATCCTGCATGGTTTGCGCAGCTGAAACGGGAAAAAAGAGAGACGCGTTATTGTTAATGTGATCGTTAATGCCCCTCGCTAAAGCGGGCGGGTGTTTTACTTGCGAAAATCCAGTGCCACCGCTACTAGCCAATTGCAATGCAAATCCATAATCTCCCATTTAGAAGAACAGGTCGGGCTGGGGATGGGGGCGGGGGGAGGGCTCGTGCAAGGTCTCTAAAAATACTGTGAGAGCGTCTTCACCCTTTCTGATGTCTTGGTTCCTTTTCTGTATTAGTGAGAGATGTGCTTATAAGACAGAAAGACAGCAATTTCGCCACGTCTCTTTTCCCTTCACCGGAACTCAGAGCGTTCACCCTGCAATGAGAAACTGATTCTGGTTCCTGTTTTTTCCCAAGCACCACCCTCCCCCAGTTATTTGCATACGTCAATAAATACTGCTGCGTCCTTCAGCAAGGTTAAAAAGACACCGCACACGACCCTTTCTTCCCCCTTTCCCTGCTCCGCACTTTAAAGAAACAGCAGTCTTATCCCTCTTGATTAGCAAACTGCCTTCTTGCGTTGATAATTGTTTGGTTTAGCAGCAGCGAACCGCGAGGGAGGAAATCCTTGGCATTTGTTAGCAGGAGGATTCAGCTGCACAATCATTCTCTGGCCTCCCAGTAGCTGCAGCTACTCCATTTTGTTAGGAGACATAAAAAACCACCGTTTTAAAAGAGGTAAAAAAAAAAAAAAAATCTACTGAAACGTTCGTAAGTGCTTGCTTCTTGTTACTGTAAGGATTGGAGTTTGTCTGCTTATTCTCCAATCTTCTTGTCTCCAATTCTATGACACAAGAAATTTCTTGGCTTCTCAGTGATTCAGGTCTCAACAGGAGCCTGAGAATTTCTGTACAGAGTAGAGAAATGTTCTGGTTGGATTTGAGGTCAGAGAGAGAGAGAGAGACAGATTGACAGTGAGATGGGATAGGGGCGGAGCTTTAAAAAAATCCCCCTGAGGTTTAAGTAGAAAGTCAAGATACTTCTGAGGTTGCCAGATTTTCATTTTTGAATCCTCCTGATGCTGCCTTGGTCACAAGACTTTGGCAAATTTAGAATCCATTCTCTTATCACTGGTATTAGCAATGAAAGATTATGGTTTGAAGACCCTGAATTACCATATGCTAGCAAAAGCGTTAAAAATAGCTTAGTACAAAGTCCCAAATTCTCATACATTGTAATTATAGTGCATTGCCATCACTGCTTCATTTAGCCATATAAGGAGTGTATGGTATTTTCCATCTCTCAAAGAAGGGCTATATTCACCTCTGCCATACAGCCTGTTTTCTCATTCAAGGATGAAAATAGTAATCACTCAAAATCAGGAGATTTCCATACACATAGTTATCACTGAGCTAGGTTGTCCTTTAGAACAAATTAATTGTTTTAAATATGTGAATATTATAATGCTGAGACTCTGAAAACAAATATTTTGAGATGTTAAAAGAGCATATGACCAAACATATAATTATTTTTAGATGATGATTCAGTATAATTGCAACAAAGTTATATATATATATATATGCAATATATATATGCAATTATATATATATATAAAACTCAATTAACTCAGATAACTTGGAGAAGCATCTTTCTCAGAACATTTGTGAAAGGACATCCAGATACACACAGAAACTCTGCCTTTGGACATCCTCATAACTGTTATAAAATAAATGTATTGGAAAATGGAGATGCCACCACCGTTAACCATTAAGCAAAATATGTCAGATCAAGAAATGGAATTAAAAGTAGTTCTACTATTTTATTAAAGACTATCTTTAAAATGGTTAATCTTTCATTTTCAAGTTTCATACACAGAATAGTGGGCTCAACAAAATGCTTCATAGCCACCTTACTCTCTACTCATTCCTCCCCTTCAAACCCCCCCCATAAATACCCAGCCCAATCAATATACCTCACAAATTGTTAGCTACTACCAATAAAACCTACATAAGATTGATTTTATGTTCCTCAGTTTCCTTGGTCTAAAACAATGGCTTTGATCTGCACTGTAAAATATGACACAAAGAGGCAAGCAAAGCTCAGATTCACAACAGCACAAAGTTCTATCGCTGCCAAAGAAAATGGACATAGAAAGACATTTTCAGACTTGGTTCAAGCAGTGCTGCAGTAAACCATTATAATCTGGGAGCTGAGTTGCTTCCAGTGGGCTAGAATTGTCTTTACAATAGCCATATCATCATGGCTGAAATACCCATTTGATTATAATTTTAATATCATTCAGCTTTTCTGATGCTCGTATTGATGCTTTGTGCTAATGCCTTCAGTTTAAACTACATGCTCTTGATAGAAAAATTAACGCTGTACTGTAGCAAAAAAGCTTAAAAGTAAGCTGTACTCAGAATATTTTATAATATACAATTAATATATTTATTTAATTAAAATTTTTTTATCATACCACATACCAGGAACACCCATTTCTCTTCTAAACACTCCTTAAAGATATAAATTTCACTTTCTGCATAAATTCATTCTGTCAAGGTCAAGACCCATCTTTAATAAATAAGACCTTTTTAAACAAAAGCAAAGCAATAGATTAAGATAACATTTACAAAGTTAATATACAATATCTTTCGGCAACTGCTTGTCTAGTTTGTTTGGGTGTGTTTCCTTTTTTCTTTTTTCTTATTTACAGCAAAGTCCGAGAAATAGATACCTCCTTCCCCTCCCCCCACCACACACACAATAGATCTTCCTTAACATGCAATCACCCGATCTCAAGTAACAAATTCTTAGTAGCAGTTACCTTTGAGTGTCCAGTTTTTAAGGATCGATAAAATTAAAAAGTGTACAGTATTTATTTTCTTCTTTCAGGTTGATTATGTGACCGCTCTGGCAAAAGCACTTTGACAACTGTAAGAGGAGAGGGCATGCGCGCACAGGGAACTGTGGGGGCTGAAGTCCTTCACTAGGTACTCTGCCTGACTTAAGCACGTTCAGCCAAGGAAAGGAGGAAGCCTCGCAAATACGGATTCCAAGGGGAAGAGGTTGTGCCCGGATTACGTTATATTTTCCTACCAATCTGAATCGCGAATTGTTGAAATGAAAAGGGAGAAAAATAAATTGGTTTGTCAACTTGATTTAGGAAGCCAGGTTAAAAAAGAAACTAGATTGAAGGACTCAAAATAAATAAACCCATCAGAGCTACCTTAAATGGTATTAGAATGGTGATGGCTGGGTAGCCAGCAATAGGAACCCTATCCGAGGAAAAGAAATTGGGATGGGGAGGGAATGGAGAGGGGAGACTACTAGGAAAAGATAAATACTTGAAATCTGACCAACCTTAAAAAGAAACATTTTTATAGAATGAAAATACCTTAATACTAAATGTGATATTAACTGTGGAGATCAGGTAAAATAGGTTTCAGTCACAAATTTTTTACATCCACCAAGATTTCTTTGTATTTGAGTTTTCAATGAAGGCACAAATCACTTTAGATTCTACTTGACATGCTCTGAATCAACTCTTCTCCTTATTTTACTTGTCAAAATGAAAGTTTACTCTTCATTATTCATACCATGATCAATCAAATAAAATTCAACTCTTTTAAGCTAAAATAATATTTGGTGAAATATTAAAAATAGTTTGACATTTAGTGTTTCATTGCATAGGGCAGTGACTTCCTTGTAAATAGTTTCTGTTTTTCAAAAAAAAATTTTTTTGGTGTATATTTTCCCTATCTTAACCTCATGACTCCAAGGCTGGAATCTCACAGCATATTAACATCAACTCTTATCATCCATAGCTTCTGAGAGCAATAGTTCAACTACCACTTTGCTCACGTAGGCAGAAGATATTATTTCTTGTGGGATTTGGTTCAATGCCATTCACCCAAGGGGTTCGGAGTAAATGTCAGTTGATGACTACACTGATTGAACTTGGAACTAAAAATGTTAAGCATCATTTAAAACTGTCTTAATTCTCTATTTCCTTTCTTCACCAATGAGAATTATAGTATTACCAGAGACTACCAATCTGTAGTGTTAGTGGTCTTTGTTTCTAGTTCGTTCGCTCTCTTTCTTTCTTTCTTTATGTTTTTTATTTATTTCTGAGAGAGAGACAGCGTGAGCAGTGAAGAGTCAGAGAGAGACGGAGACACAGAATCTGAAGCAGGCTCCAGGCTCTGAACTGGCTGTCAGCACAGAGCCTGACGCGGGGCTCAAACCCACGAACCATGAGATCATGACCTGAGCCGAAGTCGGACGCTTAACCTACTGAGCCACCCAGGCGCTCCATGTTTCTAGTTATTTCTAAGGAAAAAAAACAAAACTATTTAAGAGGAAAAAAATTATTGTGGATCAACCTGTGAACAGCTCTTTTTAAAAGAACTAAATGGCCTTCTTATTCTACTGTGAACTTCTTTTATATTCCCCATTTTTTCTATTCCTCTGCTCTCCTAAAGAAAACCTTACTTCTGCCAATGTGCTGTACTTATCATTTGCATTCCAGAGTCTGTCAGGATCATTCAAGGTTAATCTTATTCCTGAAGATTTCCCTAACCTACCAAACTTCTACATTTTCAAGTACTTCAATTAAGTAAAAAAAAAAAAAGCTCCCTCATTAAATCCTTACCAAGACTTGTTTAAAAAAAAAGATTTTAAAAATTATTTATAATTAATATGTCAAGATTTTATTGGTAGTAATTACTTTTTTCTTTTTTTTTTTTAAAGTTTGTTTATTTAAAGAGAGAGTACAAGTAGGGGATGGGCAGAGAGAGAGAGAGTGAGAGAGAGAGAATTCCAAGCAGGCTCCACACTGCCAGAGCAGAGCCTGACACTGGGCTTGAACCCACAAACCATGAGATCATGACCTGAGTTGAAGTCGAATGCTTAACCAACTGAGCCACTCAGGAGCCTTTATTGGTAGAAATTCTTAAGTGATTCAGGTGTATTTGAAAGTGGTTTACTTGGACATTTATTAATCCGCTTGACCACAAGTAAAGGCCTAATAATAATTCACACAATGAAGAAAAATAAACTTTAGCACCTGACCCTTGATAAATGGCAATCAGTAATTAGCACTGCCCATACTTAATGTAATTGTATTATATTTGAAAAGAGGGAAGCCTGGGTGGCTCAATTGGTTGGGCTTCCGACTTCGGCTCAGGTCATGATCTCACGGTTCATGGGTTTGAGTCCCACATCGGGCTCTGTGCTGACAGCTCAGAGCCTGAAGCCTGCTTCGGATTCTGTGTCTCCGTCTCTCTGACCCTCCCCTGCTCACGCTGTCTCGATCTCTCTCTCAAAAATAAAACATTAAAATATTTTTAAAAAAGAAAATGAAGTACTTTCTACTCT